CCTTCAGATGATATCAAACTAGAGATGAAACCGGCTAGACCGGCAAATCGAACTTCTTCCATTAACGCGCGATCAGGCGAAGAGAAAAATGTCGATTTATACGTTTATTTCCGCGAGAAAGAAAGAGACCTGGTTTATCTGTCGATCTAGTTCCAGCTCTGACTTCAGACATAACCTCACATCGAGCAAAAAGTAGTGACGATAAGTCTCCGTGTCTGATCCGAAGGTAGACGCCAATAGATGCCATATTAGGCGCTACGAGCAATAAAATGTCTCGCAGATGATCATAGGAAACAAAAATTGAGATATGACAGAACATTTTTCGTTCGGTCTCTAATTTGTACCGGTTATACGCTGGTTTTTCGTCAGTCTAGGACTGTTTTTAAGCGGCCCGGTATACAGGCCGATCTGGTCCGGTTGGATTTTCTCAGTCGGTTCCACCTCTGCATTTGATATCATCTGAAGGAACGAAAAGAAACAGGTGCGCGGCGCAGGAAAGAAAGAAATGACCGAGTGCATTCATAGAAAAGACGAACGTACTCGGTACATGGCAGAAAAAAGAAGAAAATCTGTTAGAGCGTTCCATGTCGACGAAATCGCGGTATTTTTAACAATTAATCGCGACAGATTAATTGGCGATTCCGATGACTTTTCTTTTTTTTGAAAATCGGTAATTAATTACGATTAATTGTTGATTTTAAGCGGTTAAATGGTTATTGTTATTCACCATTTTATTTTGCAGTAAAGTATGTATATAAGAAACACGATTTCAACGAGAAATACACTTCTGTTTAGATCATCTTTTTATTTTAGAGTAAAACGGAGTTGTCAAGTCTTCTCTATGATCCCTCAGAGCTTTAAGTCGAGGAGCCCAGTGAACAGCTGGTATTCAGGCAATGTCTAAAATCTACTCGTCGGAAAGGTTCCGACTTCAGCTGGTACTAAGACCGTTCCTGGATGATGTACATGTCATTATACATAATAAATAATGATAAAACAGAAAAAAATATGTATTTCGTAATATGGGTTCCAAGTTATTACCAAGAAAAAAATCGTCAACTAATCGCGATTAATTGCTAAAATCGCCTGAAAATCACCAAAAAATCGTCAATGAATCGCGATTAAGCGCATGATTAATTGCTGATTTTTTTGCGATTTTTAGTACATGGGCATTTTCTAACACACTCGGTGGCAGACAATAAAAGGGTTTTGACAAAGGAGGGGCGACGATAACGAAGAGACGAATCACTTGATGATACGCATGAATAATTCTTTAGTAGAGGAATTAATCTCTTCTGCCTAAAATCGCGAGTGCTCAATTCTCGAGTATGAGTACGTACTCGTACTTGTTATGAGTTCTGTAAATTCTGAAAGTTTCATCTCATTTGAAACTAGTTTATGTAAACGTGGCAGAGATTCCATGGAACTACTCTATAGTTTTTTCAGCTTTGTGGGAATCCTGGCATTTTAAGTTTTCTACCAGTCGAAATCATAAATATGAGGAGTTTTTGAACTTTTTCCGTGATTCTGTGGGAGGCTGAATCGATATTTATTTCCGCTCTGTTTAATCGGGTGTCATTTGCCGTGCTGACTAGATCGAAAAACTCTCCCTTTCTATTATAACTTAATATCTACGCGTTTCTAGTATTTATTTGTATTTTGTGACGCAGGATAAATGATTACAACCATGGGAAGCACTCTCAAACAATTTAGAAAAAAAGGATTGATTAGTATGTCAGTAAAAAATATTTGAATTCACTTTCAGTTGTTCTCAATGATAACTTTTTTCAAGTTAGCATACAACTTGGATTATTGATGGTTGAACAGCGATGGTATATTTGAACATGGCAGACGCTTGTAAAAGACGGCTAATTCCTTTTGATAATTGTAAATATATACTGTCGCACTTCATGCAAAGCTTCGGTTGTTGCTCGAGGTGTTAACCATGGATAATGTTCTGCAAACTTCTAGTACGGATGACATACACTGTTTAGTTTGTATTGATTACCAGCAGCAACATTGTTCGAGCAAGACTCATACGGTAATTCTCCATCGTTAGATGCCCCTGGATTGTCCCAGGAAGATCCGTCTAATCCAACTGATTGATGATCACAATCATGTCTTCTGTCATTTGCATCCAATGAACTTGTGTGCCCCGCCGCATGTTTACATGGTATTCTACACATAGGACACGGCTCAGAGCATCTCATTTTGACCGCTTCATCTTTTTGATTATTAATCATCTCATCTAGTGTATTCGTTAATACAGACTGCCTTTCATCTTTGGTCAATTCGGAAGTAGTTTTCTCTGTTGATGATGATACTTTAAATAGATTTTTGGCCATTTCTTTCCACATCTCGATCGGTTCATCGTCGCAACGAATGTAATTGTCGCTATTTAGTGCTCGAACAGCATCAGCAAATATTGCTGGTAATTTGTAGTCGTTTAAATTTTGTACAAGTTCTTGTAAAAAAAAGCGTGTACGTCCTTGAGATATTTTTGATTCATCTTTTCGTTTTCATCACATATTGGATTTACCAATATCTATTTTGGTAACAGTAGTACTGAATGCTACGATTCGTGATACTGAGTCAATTGATTTTGTACACAATCAGTTACCTTTTGTTTAATCAATTTATTAACAATTTTTTGATAATGCTTCGATGAATGAGTAACATTATAAATCATATCATCAAGTCTTTTCGCTTCAATCTGTTGCAATCAGTCGAGGTCAACACGTACCATCAATACTCGACTATGCTGTTGTCGATGTTATACTCCTCCTTGTAATAGAAGGCCACTCTGAAAAGAAATTCCAAGAAGGCCGTGCGTTTTCCAGAAGTCTTTTTTCCAAAACTCAAAGGTTTTTGAGGTTTTTTAATTTTTCTTTGGGTTTTCATAATAGAAAACCCGGTTTTCCGTAATAGAACGACAAGATCCCTTTTTGAATATCAGAAAACTTTTTCAAAAACCCTGGTTTTCTGGGTAAAATTGACAAAAAAATTAGCTCTCAGCAGAAGGCCATTCTCGAACGAGCGATATGAATTGTCATAATAGAAGGCCATGCTCTTCTATTCTATTCTGTGGAAGAGCAGGGGTGGAATAGTCTTTAAGTCATAGGAACTATGCATTCAACCTGCAATATGTCAAAGAAAAACTTCAGGCCTAAAACCTAGCTTCCTAACCGCCCTAAAGTCGATCGGACAGCCCAATCTAAGGTTGAATTTTTTGAGCTGGAATTAGCTTAACCATATAGAAAATCGTATTATGTAACTCCAACCGCCCGGCTTTATGTTTTTTGCTCGGGGGTTTCTGAAAGTCTTTAACCTTCTGAATTTTGAACGAAGATAACCGTACTGGAGTAATAGCCGACATACCTCATCTTTCAGCCCTTGCAGCACTCCTTTGCTAATTTCTGTTGCTCTGATATCAACTAACGCGGAGAAATTTGATTGATGATGCTGGATTCTTTTCATACATATCTCTTTTCCCGCCTGTACGGTGATTTTCGTCTGTTGGTCGGGTAGTTGTTCGCCAATAATATTTTTCTCAATTTCATCGTATGCCGCTGAAAACAAATGAGCTAGTTTTGTGTGTTGCAACATACAATAGACTTACAGTTTATTGTACGTCAATGGTTCCATGACTGATTTGAACGATAGAGTAAGATCCACTGACAAAATACATTGCCATACTGAATCAAGATACGGAGCAAACGTCTTTAGATCTCCCGCTTTTCACTGCTTGCCATCAGAATTTTTGATACAACCCGATTGTAGATATATTCGTTGAGCTGTGTTATTGATTCACCGTAATCATTATCGGGAACATCGTCTGGCGGGACATTCGATTTTTTTTAATTTTTCCAAAAACTTGATATCACTCTCTTTTCCACCGACGTCACCGTTTCGGCTTTGACACGGAAATCACGAAACAACACGTGATTTGCTTTTTGATTGTCTTGTTTTTCGTCGTCTTTCTGCAATTTATCGGCATTATTTTTTAAATCTATAAACATTGCTTGAATGTTGTTGACAAGTTTTTTAGTATCATTCATGTCGACACGTGTATAAACAAAAAATATTCGAGTACTCAGTTGACTTGTCGGTGACGCCGCAAGTTCAGTTTGTTGATAGGCCAACATGACAATTCGCAGCACTTCACGTGCGGCACTATCATCTTCGCTGTTGATCAAAATAATCATCGCATCAGCCGGTAATACGGCGAAAGTGGCCATACGATTATCTCGCCATGTTAAGTCTGCCAAGCCAGTATGTTCAGGAGCACGAATGCCGTCAGGATCCAATATCAAAATATAGTCATATTCTTCTCGGTTTTCTGCTTTTAATAACTGTATGTTGACACCTCGTGTACACATTCCCGCGCTTGCACGAAGACGTGTGCTAAACATCAAATTCAACAGAGTGGATTTACCCGTGCTTTGTACACCTAGTATGCTGAGAATGAATACTCGAATTGGTTGATTCATCGACTTTGAACTACGCTGTTTCATCAGTTGTTGCTCAGTTTGTAAAAATACGGCTTTGATCCACGTTTACTCTAGCATACCGGCATCTCCGTCTAATAATTCTACTGCAAAACCGTCAATCAGATGTTTTGCAGCCAATGCCGGATAATTCCCGTATCGTGTCGGATTGCTGGCATAAAAATGGCATATTTCTCGTCACAAATGCTCGATTCCAACAGTGCTATCAGCAAACAATCGCTTCGCTTGGAAGTACGCTTCTTGCTTGGACTGATTTTGTTGATCAAGATCATATTCATTGAAGGCTTCATCTTTTCGATCAATTAATGTCTTCATTGCTGATCGCGAATAGAATTCTATTTGTTGGATTAGTTGACGTACGGCCAACGTACGGCGTTGACGATTTTCAAGCGATAGAATACCCGTAAAACATCTTATCAATGGGTGCTTTTCAACCTCGTACGCTTTTTGACCACGTTGATTTCGGTAATCATTAATTAAACGTTGAATTCGTTATAGTTCAGCATCATGATTTTTATTTTTGTTTTTCAACACGATATTTTCTGATTCTTTCATGAACAATTGTTGTAACGGCAATTCTATAACTCGAGCCGTGAAGTAATTTTGTTTCCGTAATATTTCTCCTGTATTAATTAAATTTATACATAAAGAAGCATATAGATCAGGATGAGTCATTGACATCAAAGAAGAACGTGGTTGAGTCGTATCTGAGTCGTCTGACAATAAATCTGATAGAGACTCTTGAATGTCATTAACCGTTTGAATGATACTACCTGATAAATGAAGATAGCCATCATCAGTCAAATCTGGTTCAATTTTGTTCGTGGCCGTTTTCCATGTGATCACGCGACAATTATCATTTAAAGAAAACAATGGCTGAAAACTAGCTTCACGTGACAGATCTTCTTCGACCATGAGCACATTAGCAAACTGATGAATGTACGACCAGATAGACGAATAATTTCCTATAACATTTAGAACTGATACTTCTTGATGTTTTTCATTGTTCTTGACACCAGTTAAGCATGGAATAAAGCCTACGCCAATTTCAGCGATGCATTGATCCATACGAATACATTTGATGTCATCGGATGACAATAACATAAACGAGTGACAGGAGAAAATTTGTTTCATCCATTCGCTACTTTCGCTTTGTTTCAATTGTCTCATCGAGATAATAGCTATTTGTAACAGTGAACAATCGCTTGTAAGATTGTATTCTCGTTGTCGTAATAATATAGTAGTGACGAATGATAAAGCATTGATGAAATAACTATACGGTGTTGTGTCTGCGTTTAATGGTGGCATTAATATGGAAACAGCTGTTCGACGTTCGATCAATAAGCGAAATAATTCAATTAGACTGAGTAGATCGGAATAACTGACGAGGGAACCTATCCAACTGTCGGACGCCGTTTGACTCCATATTTTGGCTATAAGTAGGACTTAGTGAGACTAAGAAAATCCTAAAAGGGTTCGGGCCCATGACTCTTGAAGACCCCGTTTTCTGGAAAACCAGTTTTTCAAGAACTCTAAAAGATAACTAAACCCTTCTTTTAATGAGA